GGAAGAAAAGGCAGGATGGATGGGGTGGCCACTACGGACCGAGTGGTCACAGCAGGCCTTTCCGAGAAAGGGACACACAGATGCCCAGTGAGACGTACGTGAGAAGGGGGGCCCAGGCCAGTGCATCACAAGGAGGAAGCAGCCAGGTAAGAGTTTAGTGAAATAGGTATCTATTCTACCTATATCTGTGTTCATCTCAACACATACATGCATATTTAAATATATACATATAATTATATAGAAATACATGTAGAAATTAAAAAAATTATAGTTTAGAAATAAACTACACAAATATACACATATATTTTTAACCCCATCATCCATGGAGGTAATCAAGCTTCCTCTCCGTAGATGGTAAACCTTGAGGAAGGCAGGAAGCAGATGGACAGACAGGTGATACAGCTGATTGAGAACACCTGTGATTCCCATAAGACCATCAAAGAAGAAGTAACTGGGTGTCCCCAGCAGAAGTCCAGGGAAAGTGTCCAGCTCGGAGCTGTAGGACTGGAGAAGGAGGCTGTTGGTGGGCACTGGGGACATGGGGAGAAACTCATGGAATACCAGCTGCCATGAGGCAAAAGGGGAATGTTTTCTGGTCGGTTTCTAATATGGGCAATATACCAGGGCCTCTGCCTACGTAGGGGTGAAATGGAAAACATAGAGCACAAAACATCCCAGTCAACTAGGGAGACTTCTAGACATCCCAACCTTTCCCCTACTTCTCATTGGTTTTGCTAATCTAATCAGTTCCCCGAAGATCCTGTAGCAGAAAAGAGAAGGGTGGACTTATTGGGGAGCACTGCAGAGAGGAAATAAATGAACTTCAGAAACTCCTTCAGTACCTGAAGTATAGAAAAGAGCACCCGGGCACAGACTGTCATGAAGACAGGTGGGCTGGAGCCACCCCTCACACTCTGAGAGAGGGCCCAGCTTCAGTCTGTTACCAGGACCCAGGAAGGAACCCTGCGGAGTTACTGGTACCCCCCTCATGAACATACTCAGACCAACTGCTCAGAGAAAAGCCTGCGGTGCTGGATGGGGGAATCCACTGAACCAGAGCTACTCAAGCTGTACTGTGCCTCAGAACAGCCTAGAATGCTTTCTGGAAGCATGCCACCTGGAGCATTCTCGTGGCAGGTTCTTCTGGTGCACCCTAAGGTTTGAGAGCTAGGACCCGCATGCGGCTGAGGGAGCCCTCAACAGTATCGATAAAGTCCACCTGGACCAGCATTGTACATTAGAATCATTTGGTGAGAAATACCAGTGACCCAATGGTCAGAAATTATTATTTAAAGGACCAGAGGGGAGTCTAGGTATTGGGCTATTTATAAACCCTCCAGGTGGTTCTAATGTTTGACCAGGGTTGAGAGCCAAGCTCTTCATTTATGAAAATCATGCAGCAAGTTTCTGAGTATATGGAAAGACTGATATGCACTGAACAGGTATTAAGGAAACCATGACAAGAAACAGTGATTTCACCAATGACCTCTAGTGAAAGAGACTAAGTAACGGAAATAGAGAGGGAATATATAAAAAATATATGTATCACATCCTTAGGGGGATTCAAGAGGATAAACATCAAAAGAACAGACTAGGCTACTAAGAAAAAAAAATAGCCCAAGAAATATTATGAATTCTTTAAATTGAAAAGCATAATTGTCAACCACTCTCCCAGTATTCAGTAGGAAAAGAAAAAACTCATTAATGTATAAAAATCACAGAATGAACACCATTGAAAACCAAACTCTGAATGACTCTGAAAGTAATTCAAGGAATTCTATCATTGAATAGAAAATGAAAAAGACTAAGAGAGAGAAGATAAGAGACATGGTTCTCTGTGACAGAGGCCCAGAATTCCTACAAAAGGGTTTCCTGAAATGGAAGGTTAGAACAGAAAAAGAGTGGCAGCAGTTTATTTTTAAAAAGAGAAAGAAAGACGCTAAGTTAAAGAAAGATTTCAGCTCCTAGATCAGATTAGAAGGTAATCCTAGGGCATGTCAGAAATTTTAGAAAGAAGATACCATCTACATACCATTTTTCTTTTAAAGTCAACAGGAAAATATGTCACAAAATGTTGGTTTAAAATACATCAGGCTAACATATCTCTGGGGAAGCAAGGAGTTGGGAAGTTAAGGGAGAGTATTTATTTTATGTATGCCATTATTATTTGCATAAATTAATGATGTCTTTAATTAAAACATTTTAAAGTACATTGACTAGAACAGAAACCAGAGTAGCAAAAGCTAGCACAAAAGTTGGTTATGAAAGTAAAAGTCAGAGAAGAAGAAAAGAAAAAAGAAAGAGGGATAATATTCATGAAGTATACAATATCAGGGAAAAGATAAAATATATGATACAAGTAAATGTGACTATTTATATCCCAGCATCTGAAGTAGACAAAGAACACAAAACATCCAAACCACAAAAGAAAAATAAATATCTACTAATCGTGAGGAAAGACTCTTAAGTATTAATGAAATGAAAATTAAAATGAGATTTGTGCTATCAGATCTGCAAAGATAAAAAAAGATTAATAATGGCTGAGTGGGCGAGGATGTGGGAAATGGGCACTTTTAAGGAGTAGTCATGAAAAGTTGTTAGAATTTTGCTCAAGAGGAATCTGTCCACATGAACTAAAATTAAAATATGCATACCATTCTGAGCAATTCCACCCCTGGAAATTCATCTTGAGGAAGTAATTGGACTCTGCATAAGGCTGTTCATTGCATAATTGTTTTTGTTAGCAAAGAAAAAAAGTATTATCTAAATATTTATCAGGGGCCTTCCCTGGTAGTGCAGGTCTGAGCTCTATCACTGCTGTGGTCTGAGTTCCATCCCCGGCCAGAGAGCTGACCCACATGGCATGGCAGACCTCTCCTGTCTCACCTGCTGCTGCCCTCAGCAGTGTATTTCATTACATCTGACTGTTCTGCTCCCCACTCTGTCTCTGGAGAATCCTCTCATCCCTTACCCCCACAATTTTGGCCTACACCACAGTTTTTCTATGCACAAATAAATAAATACATTCATCCCTTGGGTCATATGACCAATTTGTTAAATAAATTAACTACATTCATGCAAGGAGTCACTATGAAGCTATTAAAAAGTACAAGGAAGGTCATGTGTGTTCACCTGGAAAGATGGCTATTTTGTTAGTTAAAAACTATAGACCATTGTAGAAATAATGAACTCATTTTTTGCAAAAGAATAGGGTTAGACAGTCAATTAAGAATAGGATTAAATCACTCCCAAACAATCTCAGTTCATGGCATCCTTAGTGATTTGTTGCCCCAAACAAATAAGACAAACAAAAAAAGCAAACAAAATCCTAGCAGTCGGCTCCAAAATAATTAATGACAATTTGTGTCCAAACAACTTGGTAGCTATTTGAAGTAGACTTCCCTGAAAGAAAAATTGAAAATTGTCGATTTACTTCATTCTTAAATAACTGCACTGCACGGCTGTTGGGCTCTGTGCATCATTGCGAGGCTGAAGTCAGCTGGTGCCTGTCACCTTCCTTCCTGGTCCATGTTGACTTTTGCATAGTACTTGTTTTTTATCACAGCGACTGGAAACCCTGCTTTACAAAGAGATGACACCATTGGAAGGAATGTAGTATGATCATGTGTCAAACACCACTGTGGGTCCTCAAGGATTTAAAATGTGACTCTGAGTCCCCAGCAGTGGCCCAGGGTGTCCTGGTGCAATGTGGGAACATGGCATTAAATTATGGACAAAGGTTCTTTCTGGAAAGTGAGATTGAGTTGAAGAAAGAGAGAGTTTTCTTCAGTATGTACATTGCACTAGTTTGGATTTTTATAAACATTGTTGACTTTAGTTCTTTCTACTTCGAGAAACAAAAAAAAAAAAAAAAAAGAAAGAAAGAAAGAAAGAAAAGCAAGTGTGAAAGTGAATGAAGTGAATGAGAGTATATCAAGAACAACCAAGTAGAAAGTTGTCTAGTTGAGGGGTAGAAGGTGCAAACAAAGTCACACCGCACCAACACCTGTGTATTTTCTGCCGTAACTGTGGCTACAGTCCAGAGCCTTCTGGGCTTGGCTCCTCAGCCATTAAGTCGACACACTCCTCTCCCTACAGGACAGAAGGGGCTCCATGTGGTAGCTATTGCCAGTTATGAAGAGCAGAGTGAAGAAAACCACAGCTCTGGAGCCTCTACTTAGGTTCTAATCTGAAGTCTGCCAACAGTGTGCTGTGTGACCTCAAGAAAACTTGTTAACTCCTCTGTGCCTTAATCTCCTCATCTGTTTACTGGTGAGAATAATGTTTACCTGTCATGGGGATGCCATGTGAGGCATTTACTACATGGTCAGTATGGAATAAATGTTAGATATTATTATTGCTGCTGCTTAATATGAAAAAACCAATTGACCAAACGATTCTTTCCTTTCAGTGCCAGAAGTGGGAGATGCGAGGGACTGTCCCAGTTATCATAATGTCTGGAGAGGTGAGAGGGAAGCCAGAAGGTTCCATATACAGGGGCCTCCCTGGTAGCCTGAGGGTTAAATCTCAGTGCTATCATGTTATCACCACTGCTGCCTGAGTGTGATTCCCCACCAGTGAGTGACCCATATGGCATGGCAGACCTTTCCTGTCTCCCTGAAGTTCCCCTCAGCAGTGCATTTCAGTACATCTGCCTGTTCTACTCCCCACTCTGTCTCTGATGAGTCCTCTCACACACATCTCCAACCCTGGCCTACACCCACTTCTTGTATGCATAAATAAATAAAAATAAATCTTTTAACAACAACAAAAAAGATCCATGTACAAACGATAACTATGAAAGACAGAAACCGTGAGTAAGAAGAATCATTTTGGAAGTTACTTGAGGGCTTTCTATTCTGGTGATAAAATAAGAGAGGAAATCAAGCGATCTCATAATTTCACAACTTTTTTTTCACATCCCTCCCACTCTCAGACATTGAAATACATTATTATTATTACTGTTATTGTTTATTATTTGCAGTATTATTATTATTTACCTCATCTCTATGTCCCATAAAGCAACATCGTCACTGATCCAGGGATTAGACGGCTCGGCTGACGTGATCAAAGGATCGTATTCCACATACTGTTCCGTGTAAGCAATCAAGCTGCAGGAGAGGAAAGAAACAAAGGATTGGCTACACAGGATACCGCTTAAGCTTCATGCAGAGTGGTTAAAAGGCCTTGGAGTCTGCTCACTGAGTGAGTGAAAGGTGGTGGAGAGGAGACAGCAATGCGACGGAGGAATGCCTTATGCTGAGTCTCTGGACCTCCGGACCAAGCAGGTAGAGACCCTGGAGGGTGAGGGATCCACCCACATGGAGGAGCTAGCGCAGAGGACGTTTCTTGGTTCCTGCTCGGTTCTATCAATCTCCCAGGAAGTGCCCCCTGCACCTGTAAAGGGCTATTTCAGGGGCTGCCACTACATGTAATTCTGGCTTCCGGTCATGGCAGATGACTAGAAATGGACACCCAACCCAGGCTGGGTTACTCTCCTCTTTCTCCAGCTTCAGCAGAGAAACTATAAAAGGCTGGCTGCTTCCCAGCACGTCTGTGTTAAAAGAGAATGAGTTCAACACGGGAAGTAGGGCAGTGCAAGGAGGAAGAAGGCATCTTGATTCTTGCTATTCTGGAGCTCAGTGGCATTGCTGGCCTTGCTGGAGTTCAACCCTGCAGACCCTCCTTGTGTTCTGCGAGCCCTCCTGTGCTCTTTTAGCTGAACTAGGTTCAAGTTGGGGCTCTCTTGCTTGGAACCCAACTAACACAATTGACATAGGGATGAAGGTGATGGAGATGGGAAGACAAGTTTATGGAGACAACCCTTTGTGGTATTACCACATGTGCTGCCTGGCAGCACACAGACAGCAAGAGGAACAGAGTCTCCTAGGGCAGACAATCAAGGGACAGGCAAAGGCCCATACAGAGAACTCCTGGAGGCTAACGTCAACATCAAAGGCTACAGAAAGATTTGAGATAAGACAGGAACAGCACAACGGGGCAACAATATGAGAAGCACTGAAAGAATGTTGTAGAATGTCTGGCAAAATAACACACCAATAACAGTGGTCCCTAGAAAGCTGGCTGCCAGCACAAGTGGGAGTTATCATGGATTGCAGTGTACCCCTACCTGTAATGCCTTTGTTGAAGGCAGAGTGACTGTTTCTGAAGATAGGTCCTTTAAGGAGGTAATGATGTTTCAACAAGGCCCTCCAGGCAGGACACTTGTCTCATACCTGTCCTTCTAAGCAGAGGAAGGGACGCCAGGGCTGTCCTCCTGTATGCGCACGTAGAGGAAGGGACATGTTTGGGCATGGCAGAAAGATGGCTGCTTGCAAGCCGGGAAGAATGGCGGCACCAGAAACCTGCCTGTTTGACACCCTGATCTTGGGCTTCCAGCCCCCAGATAAAAAGATGTGTTATGTTGAGGCCACCCAGTCAGTGGTATTGTGTTAGGGTAGCCTGTGTTGATTAATCAGAAGAAATGGAAAAAAAAAAAAACATAGAAAGTTCTTAGGAACATAATTTCTCCTAAGTCCCCTTAGCCCTGCTTTCTCCTGATTACTATATGGATTTGTTATTTTCAAATGAATGTTCACATCATTAGCCAGTTTAGCGAAATCTCTAGCCACCCTCATCAGCTGCTGTGTGATGCTTGTTGCGTGGAGGTGTGGAGCTGGCTGATGTGTTCACACATGTCCTACTCCGGAGTCAGTGGCAGAAATTCACCACATGACCACCAAAGGTAGAGACTGTAATCAGTCAGTCATTCAGTCAACATTATGCAGCACCCATGGGTGCCATGAACCAATGCGGTACTTTCGGATCGCAGGAAGGTGCTGCTGTTGAGCTGACAGCAGTGTAGTTTCCCATGCACTCACCACTTGGGAGGACTACACATCCATTTATACACATATTTTACACACCTACATATTTACTTGTACATGCATATGATATCATATTTTTATAACTATATAAAATATGTATTCTGTAACACACGATTTGGAGGGGCACATTAAATGAGCTGTTCCTACCACGGTCACTTCCCAACTTAGTTGCTGGTTAGGTCCTATCTTTGAGAAACCTAAAGAGGAAGGAAATAATGGAGAAGAATTTAGAAAACTCAGTGAGACCTCTTGAAAAATTCGGAGAAATAGTTTTAGATTTTACCTTCTCTGCCTGCCCCCCCCTGCACCCTTTTACCAAAAGACTCATACTGTTGCTGAAGACTATATAGAATGTGATAGAATGTGGCCTAAAAGAGCATGGAGGGTGAGCTGGAGGAGCTGTTCATCATGGGTTGAGGGTGTCTCGGAAGGAGTCTCAGGAGCAGAGCTCATGTCTGGGGTTCTAGCAGCACAGCAGGCGGGGAGAGAGGGCGAGAGGCCTCTGCTGTGGGAGGAGGGGCAGTGAGCCAAGGCTGGCTGCGAGGGAGAGGCCCATTCCCGGGAAAACAAGGCAAGGCAGGCAGAGCATTATGGAAGAGAGAGCGCACACTAGGACATCAGGGCCTCCAGCTAGGAAGGAACCTTGGAAGTTGTGAAAAGGGGGTGGGTAGCAGGTGTGGCCGCACCCCCTGTGGAATGGGCATTTTCTAAACTGCAAATCACAAAAAGGAATTGGGACAGAAAGATGGTCTGATTAGAAAAGGGATGAAAACTGGAGTAGCACTGAGAGACAAAAAAGCAAGCTTGGTAACTTTTTTCACATTAGAGGAGGTGGGGAGGAGAGCGACTACAGAAAGAACTCCTGAATTTCAGGTCACCCAAGGGGAAAAAAACTATTTAATACAGAAACTCAGGATGACTGTAGGGATGGGAAGGCGGCTAGCCTCCCAGAATGAAGAGCACATGTCAGGCCGGCCAGCTACCTCGTCCTCCCAGATATGGGTCTGGACAAAATCACCCTGGCAATTATGCTACTTCTGAGTTGTTGTTGTTTTCCTGTCAGCTAAAATGGGCTGGGGAGAAAGGAGGAGCCAGGATCTATTCCAGGGTGTCTGGAATAACATAAAAGCAAAGTTGTGATGACCTCCTTGGCCCCTTCTCCCCCCATCCTCTGAAACTATCACTAGACATGAAATTCACAGGCTTCTATCACCCTAGCAGGCTTTTAATAGACGCTTAAGGTATCCAGTCCCTCCCTGTCTTATCTCATTTCATTAATTACATTTCATGATCACAGAGGGTCAGGAGGCAGAGGAAGAACCAGCATCCAATTTCAGGGAGCATCAGCGCTCTTGAGATGGGCCAGCAAGGTGATGGTGAAAAAATCAATTCCGCAGTCAGCTGTGACACACACATGACTCCCAGGGACAGGTAAGGGCAAGTCAAATACGGGAGCAGATATCGAATGAGAATGATACAGCTCCTCTTTCCAGATGGGGGCAGTGTGGTGTGATGCCTGCAGGGCAGGTGAGGCTGAGGGTCACTGCCAGTGGGCAAAAGTCTCTGGAAAGTCCAGCAAAACATAAAGGCTTTCCAGACAATTTAGAACCACGGGGCATAGATTTTTGCACTTGCACAATTGCTTTGTCCAGTATTCTAAGGCTTCGGTGACCTAAGACAAAACTCCCTCCAGGCTGGCAAGGAAGAGTCAGGCTTTATTACTTGGCAAGTTCAATGATGGAGAGAAAACTGGTGAAGGAAGTGAGCAGAGGCACCTCAAAGCAGAATGTACAGATGAATAAACGCTATGCCTCTTGGCCTGTTGTGCCTTGTTTGGGAGAAGATTCTGTTGCTTTAGAATTAAAGCTACAGACGTTGGTTATTCAATTTCCTGGTATGGTTGATCAATTTCAAATAAAAAATTGTAGCCTGCTTTCCCAGCCCTTGAATCTGGTCTGGACTTGTGATTTGCTTTCTCTGAAAAAATGCAGCAGAAGAGAGAAGCACCAGCTGCAAGCTGCAGAAGGCTCTGCACACATCTCCCCTTTCTCTGAGAATCTGCTGTCCCCCCGGGGACAACCAGCCTGTGGCAGTGAGAGACCAGGAGAGGGGACAGCACAGTGTCCCAGCTGAGGTCATCCCAAGCCTCTGGCAGCCAAAACATCTGAGCTTGTGCAGGCAAGATCAGCGGAGCTGCCACCCCGTCTCAGCTGCACACGGACACCAGGCTGACGTGTGAGCAAATGCCCATTGTTGGAAGCCACTATGTGGCTCGAAGGGGTTTGTTACTCAGCAATAAGTAGATGATGCACTTGGTTTGCTACTAACAAGAAACAGGGGTGGTTGGAGAGGGAGAGTTATTAAAGTTTGTTGACTGGAAACAAGAAAGAAATCAACAACGGCAAAGCAGAAATAGAGACTCAAATTGTGTAACAGCCTGGAGCCAGAGGGGTAGGCAAGCAGTTTGTGGCACTTTGTATGACCCTGATCACTGGCAGCGCTTTACAGCCTGGTCTGGGAACACAGCCGGCAGGCACCCAGAAGGAACGGGCAGGCGGTGTCTCGGCTTTCGGAAGGCAACACTTGCCTGTAAGGAAGTCTTATCTAAAACAGCTAAAAGGAAGAGCTTAAGGAACGAAGTGCATTTGCACAGAAATTTCATCTGTGCTTACAGGGATCATACTTTCTGAAACAAAAACTGGGCAATACCTCAGGTTCAAAGGACAACCTGGAAATAGGGGTTGATTCCTGTGATATTCACACTCACAGGGACAACGGGGCAGAGTATTTGAAAACAGTGGGTGAGAAATCTGTGCCAAGTGCCAACCTGTTCGTGGGATCCCTCTTTCCCCAACAGTGCCAGGTAGTGGTGACACAGTTCAGACCAGGCAGACACACAGACCTCGAGTGCTGTCGGTGCAGAGACTTGGAAGAGAGAGGGTGGGCACAGAGCTGCCAGCTCACTCCTGGGCCAGCCCTTTGTTCTTCTGAACACCATCCACCAGTTCATTCCAGTCTCATGCACGCGAATTTGGCTCCCTTCCAAGGCACCATTAGGCACCACACTGGAAAATAGTAATAATCGCTCACATTCACGCACATGTGCGAAGTGCCAAGCACTGAACAGAGCCCTGCCATGGATTAACTCCTTATCCCTGCCAGCAAGCACTGCTGCTCTCTTCCCTTTAAAGAGGTGGAAACAGAGGCAAAGTCAGGAGAAACCACTTGCTCAAGGTGACACAGTTAGAAAAGACACTGGCAGCACCCAAGCCTAATGGCTCCCACCCAGCCTCCCAATTGTTCTGTTTTGCCCTTTTTCAGTTTCCTTATTTCCATCCCAGCGGGGATGGGTGCATCCTTTGATCCCATCCCCTTCACCCATGACCCTTGAATTTCAGGAACTGGATGTTCATGATCCCCAGCACTCCTGCTTCTCCCCAACATCAGTTCTCAAGGAGCTTACTGAAAATGTCGAGGGCCTTTTCTCCAGGGGTAATCAGCTGGTGAGTTCCCACCCATCACTCAGAGCCGGCCTGGGAAAACAGACCTGGGGCAGGTGTGCGTGCCCACCTGAGAGACTCAGCTTCAGCTCCCGTGTGTCCAGCAGCTGCCAGCGCCACCTCCCTGCCCGCACCCCTCCAGAGCTGCCCACAGACCAGGGCTCCAGGCTGCATTATTTCCCACTACCAGCCGGCTCATCTCCCTCTGCCCTCTCTGTCTGGGAGTTTCCTTATGGCGCTAATGAAAAACTCTGGTGTCACATTGAAAAGTCGTCAGTTATTGCTGCTGGGAATACAGTCCAATCGTCTCTGGGCGGAGCCTCGTGAAAGCTTTGGGCTGAGTGAAGGGTGACTGGTAGGCATAATCTCTTGGAGGCTTCAAGGCGAGCGGCCTCAAGGCGAGCGGCCTCTCCAGCATAATTAGATGGTACCAGGGGGCACCCCTCCCCCCTGACGCCCGTAAACAAACAATAGGCACTGCCAGCCTCCTCCCCCACCTCACCGAGGCTTTCTCTCTGCTCAGCCGCAGCACACCTGCCCGGTGGTGTGGGGATCGGCTTCCCTCATGCTCCCCCAGGTTCAGGCTCTTTCCCCATATCCCAAATGTAAGATGAAGCTGGATGTCCTTTCTGCTGTGACTTCTCCGGTCAGTCTAGGAGGCTGGCAGTGGCTTCACCAAACTCTGGAAGGACGCTGTGACGCCCTTGGAGGAATACTCAAAATGCCATTTGCTGGGATCTGCTTAGGGCCACTGAGTCTGAATCCCTAGAGCCAAGGCGTAGGAATTCCCATCCCTAACCCCTTACCACCTGCCACCGGGACTATCCATCTCCAAACCAGTGGACCAGAATGACTAGACCCAAGAAGATGCTCCCTCAGACAAGCCTCTGAGGCTTGCAGATGGTCAAGTGGCCTCTGCAGACCGGACATTGCAAGCACGACCCTCACAACATATCAGGGCAGCTGTTTCTTTCTTTCTTTCTTTTCTTTTTTTTTTCTCTGAGTGAAAGAACTCATTGTTCCTCACAGGCAGTGACACCAATGGAGTTGAGATCATTCCAATGATTTCACTCATTGGCACTCTTCTGGGACAAAGGCACCCCCAGTGAGATCTGAAAAGCAATTTTAGAGTCAGGTATTCTGGAGACCCACATTATGATAGTGGGGTGAGGTGGCTTCTACAGCGTTAGCAGGAAACAGTGGCTCCAGAACAATTGGTGTAAAGGTGAGCTCCAGCTGTGGCATTTGCAGTTGGGCAAATAGGAATACTGGTGATACTCAATGGGGTCAATTTACCAACTGCTCCCCAATTCCGAGGGAGGTATGGTCATGACTGGAGACATTCTGGCTGTTATAATCTGAGGGGGACTTTGCTATTTAGTGGGCAGGAGTCAGGGATGCTGCTGAATGTCCCATAGTGCACAGGACAGTTCAAAGTTAGGACAGTGACACTACTGAGAAAGTTGAGTATAGATATGAGCTACCCTATGAGACATGAGTGCACATCTGGGGATATCCTTAGCTTCCCGAAGGCAGAGCACTAATTCAGGCTTTGGGCTGAGGTGTGGGCTTCTCGTAGCCTCACATTGCTGTTATTTATCTAGAAAGAAAATAAGAGTCTCCCCAGGGCCAGAAGTGAAAGACTGAAAACACCAGCCCCTGTATGACCCAGGCTTACAGGATGCACTTCACTCTGATATACCCAATGCTAAGACCCCACTTATGCCCTTGGTCCTTCAGCTACTGTCCTTGCTTTAACAGTAGCGTATGGACAGGCAAACATTCAGCATTAGGCTGCCTGACCAGACGTCACATACAGATTCCCAGGTGGTCAACCCTCTTTCCTGAGACTTCAGAAACAGAATATTTAGTTGACAACATTGAATCTCCCATGAGTTAACGGAGTGGAACCAGTTACTGGTGCAGATTGCAGCACAAATGCTTCCTGCAGAAGCCAGGCTAGAGGTGCCAAATATTTTCTTTCCAGTTGATTCGATGCAGTATAGCGGTTGATGGTGTGTGGAGGTGGAACGCCTCCTGATGGTCCAGTCCCCGCCTGTTTGTGCAGCCAGCACCTCAAAGGGCACACATAATTTCCTTCATCCTACAAAGTGAATCTAGGCATTTTATAGCTTAAAGGGGAACAGAGAAATTCCTTTTGAATTAATCAGGAGACGGACGGCAAAAGTGCATGATGTCGCTTTTAAAGATGCTCTTTCTTGATTGACAAGGTCCCGTGGCTACCTCCCTTGAAAAGCTTTAGCAACAGACGGTTTCTTGACACCATTCAAGAGAGGTCTGTTATCTTAGATGTATTAACACAGGGCCTGTGATTTTTTTCACCCATCAGCTTAAGAAATCACTGTGGTCTGCCTCTTGGCATTACTTGTTAGCCATAACCCTGGGACATTTCTCCTTTGTTAAATTAGAAGAGAGCTGGGATATTATTGAGGGGAAACATACCTTTCAGCCACTTTGGACATTTTTAAACAATGTCTGTCAATCTGTGCATTCAAAAATGTTATCTGGGGAAGAGAAAACATGGATGTTAAGACCAAGATAGACTTCCATTTATTCCATGAATCCAAATTCCACATTTTCGTCAAGATCCAAATACCTGTGGAAAGACTTCTCCAGCCTCCCCCCCCAGTTTGCACTCCAGCAACCATTCAACATCTTTGGATTTTTCTGCCACATTCAATATTCAAACCTGCATTTAGTCTATGTCACATAGACTCATGTAGTGTGTTCTAGCTGAAGTCTTGATTCCCAAAAGTAACTGCAAACTTGAAGGCAGCATATATAGACATATCTCATATCATGTTTTGAAATAGTCCATTTAAAAAAATTTTTTTTACAAGTCTTTCCACCAGCAAAGAGCATACCACTCATAGAAGGAAGGCTCAGGTGATAGTTGGCATTTTTTTAAGCAGTAAAGTATTAATAGTTGAGGTATATGTACACTGGTGTTTAAAGACATAATGCCATTGCACAATTAACTCCAGAAAAACATAAACATAACCTTTACATTTGGTGGAAAACAAAAAAAAAATGTGACGTTTCTGGCAGTATTCACTTTATGGCAGTGGTCTGGGACCAAACCTGCAGTGTCTGTCTCTGAGGTGTGCCTGTATTCTGCAAAGGTTAGCAATAGCATGGATAGGTAATGCACACACTGTAGGGATCTGGCTTACCTAGCTCCAAGGATTGTCCTCTGCTCATTTTTCATCCTATATGGCAGATTAGAATCATTCCACAGCTATTTTATATACACCTGTTTCCTCTTCTCCAGCCAATAATAAATTTGTTATGGGCAGGCACCTAAGAGTTTACTCTTTTGGTTCTTGCCCAGAAGTCAGTAAGACATAACGTAAAGGGTAGATCTTTAAATGACTTCATTACCAAGGAGTAATAATTAGCTACTGACCGCTGACTCGGGTTGACCAGTTAACCCATCAACAAGAACAAGGCATTGGAGAGGGAGTTTCTGTATTCTTAAATGTTCCTTTTGAACCAAAGCCATGGAGTCAGTGGTGTGGAGCTGGTTTGTTCTGGAAGTGCACTAAAATGCTAAGGACCCCATAGTGTGTGAGTCCCTCCTTCACCAAAGTCACCCAACACATTGGGACAACCCATTTATGTCTTTCTTTAGAGCTGTTGGAGGAACTCAGCATAGAGTTTTCCCTCTCAAGCTTCCAGGGCTGTTCACACACAGACTCAAAGTTTCAAGTGCCTCACAGCGGGGTTCCACTGTGGTTTCCAGAAACTCAAAGCTTCCACAACCTTCAGAGGTGAACATTCAAAGCGGTTTTAAACTAGCCATGCCTCCTCATGAGAATGATTCACCTGCTTCCGGATGTCCTCCTTTGTAGTTTTCCTGACTGGCTGACTGGGTATGTGCAAAGGGCTTGACTGGGAATCTTCAGTAACACCATACACTGACTAGAGAAGAAGCAAGAACACAGAATCATTTACCCTGAATGTGGAAGGGGACCTCCTAGATCACCTCGTTCAACTATTTATCCAAAGCTGCCAATACCTTCTGTGACATACTGACAAGAATTTCTTCTATGATGGCAATTCTGCCTCTTGAGGAATCACATCCCATCTCTGAGTAATGGCTGCTGGAAAATCTTCCCTTTTATTGAGCTGAAAATAGACTCCTTGTATATCAGTGTTTCTCCAAACACGGTCCTTAGACCAGTGTAAAGAATCATCTAGAAATACTTGGTAAAGCTGAACATTGTAGGGCCCCACCACAGGCTTAACTGAATCAAAATCTTTGTGGGTGGTGGTTTAGGAACCTGCACTTTTGTCAAATATCCCCAGGTGACTTTGAGGCACAAGAAATTCAAGAACAATTGTTAAAGATTATGCACAAAGGATCTCTAGCTTTCTGTTGTCCTCAGGGGACATGCCCGTCTGGTACACAGTTGTGGCAGAGTTCCAGGTTTTTTCCTTTTCATTAAAACCATTTCCTAGCCTCAGTTTCTCCACATGTTCACAGCTGTGGCTACTAGTTAAGCTGTTCTTTGTGTTTGGGAGCAGATAAAGGTGATCTTTGCTTTGGGAAAGAAACAAATGAAGGTGTGGAATGTATAGTTGACATCTATAAAACTATGAAGGATGGCGGGCCCTCCCTGATGGTGCAGCGGGTTAAAGCACAGCCCTAAGAAGCTTAAACCACTTCCGTATGAGGTCGATCCCCGCCTGCCCCAGAGGTGATCCACATGGCGCGGCAGATCTCTCCTGACCCGCCTGCTGCTCCCCTCAGCAGTGTACTTCATCGATCTGCCTGTTCTGCTCCCCACTTCGATCTGTCTGTTCTGCTCCCCACTCTGTCTCTGATGGGGTTCTCTCACCCTCTGCATTTCTGGCCTGTACCTCAGTTCTGTATGAATAAATAAATAAATCTTAAAAAAAAACTATGAAGGATGGAAGTGAGAGCCATGAAATTTTGGAATATTAGAATTTAGGGGGTCCTTAAAAATGAAATGAGGACATTTTAAGACTAACGTTATGAACTATAATACAGTGGGCATCATTATCTTAGTGAAGAACAAAATATATAAACAATCTCAAGAAATGTAGATATATTATCTTATATACATAATAAGTGAAAGGATTGCTCATGACAAGGAATACAGATGTTTGGGGACACATCTCTCACCTTTTGAGATTAATATTACACAGAACTGCCTTGTCCTCCTGAATATGGTCCTTGGGGCTATTCTAAGAGTGGGATGTACCAATTTGGGGAGGTCTGAGTGGGTGCACTGTCACTACTGCCTTTCTGGTAGTGAAGCTCCATGATCAGACTCATTCCTAGTTGGGCAGGATGGTAACATGAGTTTGGAAGATTTAGCTACATTAGCAGATTTCCATTTGTTTTTAAAGCATCAAGGTTACTTTTACCTGTTAGACTGCTACTTTTTTAAAAAAATTTTTAAAAATAATATAATAGTTTATTTTTACATCATTTTGTGCCTTTTCCCATCTCAGTAGTAATCCTGTGGGCTTCCCATCACCAAATCACCCGTGTGCTATCTCCATAGTCCAGTGCATTTCCCCTCCACACCTCCATTTTTGACCCCATTCCCCACTCCACCCCTGTAAAATGTCTCTGGTATATAGCTGTTCATTATTATTATTTTCTACTTTGGTCCTTTATACTCATGTTGTTAGTAAAACCATCTGATATTTTCCTTCTCTTTCTGGCTTATTTCACTAAGCATGATCTTTTCCAGCTCCATCCATGTTGCTATAAAAGACATGTGTTTATTTTATTTTATTTTTTTTGGCTGCTGAGTAATATTCCATTGCATATATGTACCACATCTTTTTAATTCGTCATCTGCTTCTGGGCATCTGGGTTGTTTCCATTTGTTTACAATTGCAAATAAGGCAGCAATAAACATGGGGGTGCAGGTTAGACTTTGTTGCTTTTTCCCTTTCAGTTTCCTTTCATTCCTGCTGCCTCCTTAGAGACACCTGTGACTTCCCTTCAAACCTCACTACAGGGTGACCCCACTTGGGAAAGCCTTGCAGCAGCCCCTGTTCTGCAGCCTGCACCCCTTCCTGACGTCTACTCCCCCAACACAGCCTGGGCAGCACTGCCTGTGGGTGCCTGTCACTCTCCACCAGACTGTGGGCTGTGTGAGGATTTGCCACAGTATCTCAGCAGCAAGAATGGTGCCAACCCAAAAATATTTGTAAGATAAATCAATGAATGGTTTCAAAGGATAGAATTGCAAACAGTAGCAGCAGTGAAGGGGATATTACATCAAGAATTTTTAATTCAGCTCAGCTAGCGAACCTTTTTAACCTTTTGTGGATTCTTCAAACGTCGACATTTTCTGATATCCATTTCTGTTGTGTTCACACAACCTGGCTGAGAAAAACAGATCACATAAATTACTAAGTGAAAAATCACTCTTCCAGTTTAGCCCCAGTGACACCATCAGAACCCATCTGTATCTTTCCATCACAGATAATTCACATTGACCTCCACTTTGCCTTTTGTAATCTTTTTACAAAGATGTTTTGCCTCCAATAAGTATTCCTCACAGAGTTCTCCTATTAAATATAAAAGCTTATCTCATGCTATCCAAGGCTGATAGGCACAGGGTATGTACTTGCAGTTTCTGAGAGTAAACTTATTATTCAAAAAGTGGTCGAGACTCTTCAGCCACAGATTTTGTCATCTCACAGACCCAGATGTTAAGTGTCCCAATATCAGGGTGGGGCATTTTTGTTTGGTTTGGTTTTCCACCAGCTTTTAGGAAGGCTAAAATAGTTTATTCATTTGTAGTTCCATTTCATGAGGGAAACACAAGATTTGTTTTAGAAGAAGTTAAAAATATAGTCAAGGCCCTCCCTGGTGGCGCAGCGGGTTGAAGCACTGCACTGAGACGCTAAAGCCACTTCTGCATGAGTTTGATCCCCGCCTGCCCTGGAGGTGATCACATGGCGTGTCAGGCCTCTCCTGACCCACCCGCTGCTCCCCTCAGCAGTGTACTTCGTAGATCTGCTTGTTCTGCTCCCCACTCTGTCTCTAGTGAGCCTCTCACCACCCCTGAGCCTCTGGCCTGTACCCCAGTTCTGTATGTACAAATAAAATAAAATCTTAAAAAAAAAATAGAGTCAAACCTCATTTTTTCAAGGAGTTTGTACTTGTGACTTTGTCTACCTGATAAAATCTACCACTACTCCCCAAGTCAACACTCTGGGTCATCTGTTTGTGGGTATGTCCTGAGCTGTGATTCTGAGCTCCCCTCTCCCCTCCAGTGAGCCTGTGCCCAGCAGCGGCTGAACAAGTGGCTGTGCCTAATGGCTGCATCTCACAGCCTAAGTGTCATCTCACTGACATTTCAGTCTAAGTGTGGCCTTGTTTCCCACAATTTTGAGCCTGTTGTTGGTGATGGGACTGGTTAAGGTCACTTCCAAGCACAGGCCTGAGGTGCTGTCCAGGGTTCTTAAGTGCAAGATGACTGGTTGTGCCTTATGGAGAAACAAATATATTAGAGAAGCTTCCTGCATGTTCCAGTTATGCTGCTTGCGTGGGGTCTGCCTTAAAGAATAAACAGCACATAGTAAGTGTCCTTAAATAGAAACAAAGTTATGTACTAATCGTTGATAAGAACATTGTGACCAGAGCTCACAGGCATCTAACTCATTCTCCCAGGAGCAGATTCAGTACAGGTTAGTTAGTGTTCCTGGAGAAGAATGGGAACAGGCTGCGTTGGAAAGAGAATATTCTAAGATTTTCAACAGAATGTCAGGAAAAATGCAAAGTGTTTATTTGGGGAGTGCCAACTTCTAAGGCCCAAAGGTAGAATTCCCAGAGTGCCCTTGTATTGATTCCATGCTTTCATGGAAGGGTAATTTTTAAAAGATTACATGAATGAGTGGCAAAACTAATTTTACAAAGCTTAGCAATTTTAAGAATGAGACACCTTGTGGCTAAAAACAGTCTTCTGAGTGGAAGAAGGAGGAAAATAAAGAAAGTGGAGAGCCGCACAGTTTTCTCACCACTGGCCTGTGGACATCCCAGAAAGCCCGTTCTTGACTATCCAAAATTTTCCTTTCTGTCTTGTCCTTTTTCCGATCAATCCTGAAAGAGCAAAGAAAGGAAGTCGGAGGTTTTTGTATGCAACACTTCCTTCTGATGCCCTCCCCAGCTCTCTGCTGCTGTTTCTCAAGGTTTAGTGCAAAAAGGGACATAGGCACCATGCAGTCTCTGCTCTCTGCATGGCTGTAAATATGCTACTCACTCCCTGTAGGGGACCCCAAGTCGGTACCTTTGTTTTAGGTACTTAAGCTTTAGGCTACCTGTTAAATTACCACAGACGTGGGATGAATGTTGTGGGGTTAAGCTTGCACACATGCAACTGTCCATTCGAATTATTAAGAGCTGGATGATTAAGGACTTAATTATCCATGGCTCCCCCCCCCACTCCCTTGTCAAAGTGGATGGTGCATATACAAATTACAGCAAAGAATCTAACCACAGGCTTGAGGCGTGTCATCTTAAATTTGAAAGTTTAGATTCAGAGATAGTAGAACTGTCTTCAAAATTCTGTGATTATGTGTTTGGAAAGTCGCTTCAGCCATCTGGATTCCTAAAAGCAGAGTAATAGCACTAATATGTGAGAAGATCCAGAAGGCAACTATCAGTGGCCTCATCTGGGAAGATATAAATTACAAGGGGGAAACGACAGACGACAATGGCAGATTTTTAATGTCCTGACCAGGAGCAGAGACAAGAGATCTTTTAAAAAGTCCATATGACTTTATATTATCTCTCTAAGTAAAACGTAACTCAGATTAATTGTATTGTAACTTCTGTTGCTTGGTTCTCTTGGGAGCACTTTAGGTTACTGGACTGAAACAAGCCCATAATCACCCAGTGATTTTTGTGATAATTACTGTGTACTCAAATGGTCCAAATTATAATGTAATCACAGAGTTAATCAAAAAAGTTAATGGAGAAATACCACATATGTAAAAAATGACAGTTTCCCCTTCTTTGAGACCATGTGACCCTATGGGTCCTGAAAGTATCAATTAGCACTCCTCTTGCTTCTGGTCCTGAGTATGCAGGCTCAATCCTGCCTCCTTCTCACCCGCCCTCTTTCTCCTTCCTGCAGCAATAGGGTCCTGCTGCAGCTCAGCGTCCAGTGCCTGGTGCCTGCCTTGCTCTGGGGTTGCTGGCAGCACTGGGGCAGTCACAGGCCACTCACACGGGGCGTGTGGGAGGCGAGGCTGGGGCAGCAAATGGAAGGCGAGAGTCAGGCACCACTGACATGAGGTGAGGTCATTTCCACCTGTGGCCACACCGAGCCCCAAGGTCTCCCACACTACCTGAGACCCACGGCTACTGCGCTGCCCAGGGTGTACAGGGAGGGGGCGGGGGCCTCAGGGTCAGTGCAGACACAGGGGGTGCCAGAGGAAAAGTGCTCACCTGCTCCCAGCTCAGCATCTCCATTGCCCACCCCATTCCACTAACAAAACCAGAGACCACTGCTGGAAAGGTCAAGAGAGGACCCGGCCTGAGCAAGTGCAGTCCCGGGATTAAAAAGACCTGGTTGACAGCCATGGTGTGATCTGGGGGACAGCTTTCCCCACTTTTCATGTTTCCATGGTGAGGAAGGAATTTTTGCTATACTCTGCAGGAGGGAAATACATGGGGGAAACACTCCAACTTTTCTCCTCCTTTTATCTCTGGCCCTCCAGAAGAGGAAGAGAGACACAGCTTATTGGTAGATTTAAAAGAAGAAATCAAGAAACTCAGATGGGTTTTTTATGGATCCTTCTGGGTCAGGCTGTTCCCCACATGCAATAAACTTAAAGGGGTCAACTCTGTCCTAGTTAGAGGTGGGGGGGGGGGTTGCGTTTAATTCCACAGTAAAGATCTGTGGTCACAGATCCAAAGTCACATCCTATAATTTAGCTTTTATGAGTAATTAATTGATATTTTGGATTCCAAATGTCTGACATATGTACTTTTTTTGTTTTTTAAATTGATTCTGGACCCTTAACCGGAGGGGGGGCGGTGAGGTGTGGAGGATGGGTTGGGTGATGAGGTATGGACCTCCCCATAAGTTCCACATATTTTCCATTGAAGACAACTTTTCTAGAGCCACAGATAAAGTGGTTCTGATGGTTTTCAGCCTGAGCACAAATAACTGGCAATTCCATTGGTAAGTAGGTATATCTGCTTATAGGCAGTGCTTGGAGATATGCCATTGCCTACTGGCATTCAGACTTCAGAAAATATTTTAGAGTGCCATTTGTTGCAAGGATAAAATGTGTCCATCCTGGCTTTAATTGTTGCTCTCGAAAGATTGGAGTGACTAGCCATGACTAACCGGCTGTGGGAGAAACCCCACTTTCACACCACCTCCAAAATATTTTTCTTGCAAGAAAAGTTCATGCAACTCTGTGAAGTTCACCTACTTTACTTGTGCTTCTGCTTGCATAAAGATGAATTCCCACTTCCTTGCAAAGGCCCTCTGGAGTCTTGCTAAGTTTTCCTAATGAGAAATGAAAATCCAAGAGAAGATATGAATCATTGTAGATCTGCACATAGACACCCATGCTTATTATAAGGCAGCCATCTATTTTGGTTATTCTCAGCAAAATGGTAGCAGAACCTCACTTTCCACCCACTGGACATGAACCCTATTTAACTTTGTACCAAACAGCACTGCACAAAGAACTATTAATATTCATTTATATCGCCATTCGGTCTGCAGTCTCTGTGACTTGCCTGATTCTTCTAACCCATGTTTTACAAGAACACAACTCACACAGTGCTTTTCCTGGGGACTGAAGAAAGGGGCGATAGTTTGTGGCTACTCCTGCAGAACTTGGGGAAGGAATGGGGGGGCACTTTGCAACCTGTTGGACATCTCAGAGAGCAAAACCAAGGATACACTTTCTAAGGCTTGTCTTTCAACAGCAAGCTGGGAAGGAAGGGAGAAGCAAAAGGCCGTGGCCTTTGAAAGTCAGATTTGAAAGTGGAAAAAAGGGAGAGGTCATGTTTGTGATACCCATGAAAGGAACCCACTCCCCCCACCCCCAAACTGAAAGAAGCAAGGAAAAGTCACCTGAGTTGCCTTTAAAGGAAGAGGGGAGCACGCTTTCCTCTAAGGCTTTTGACTTACCTAGATGCTCAGTGGTACAATGAGCAGGGTGTTTGACAGCCCCCTAATGATCCACCTAATTCTGATGGAATGCAAGGCCGGAGCCCACATTCTGCTATGTATTTTCATAGAGCTCATGCCAACACTAATTGATTACCTCATTAGCAGATTATTAATATAAAAGGAGCTTCACTGGACAATCACTGCAGGTAAACTCACTTATCACTGAGATTTGGCGTATGAGTACCACAAGCCCCACTCCTCTGATTCTTCCAGTGTTCACAGGAAGCAGTGAGCATAATGTCTGATTGTCAGTCCATCGGGGGACAGGAGTCAATACATTATGACACAGCCAGGTCACTGTTAAGATCAGGCAGCCACTGACCATAGTAAAGCAAAGTCTTAGCACTGACATAGAAGACTAGGGTGGTGACAGTGGGGGAACACTGGTGGGCAGGTGGGTATGAAGCGTCAGCTAATGCTGGTCATCCAGGAAATGACCCTCACTGCCCATAATGCAGCCCTTCTCCTAGTGGCCAGCACTCCATCACGTCATCACTCAGCGGGACCCCTCTTGAGGATGCATGAAAGTCTAGTCAATTTCCCTGATTCTTCATGACCCATATAAAGTTTTGTATGGGGGAATGATGCTGACACTGAAAACATTACATTTAAAAAAATTATCTGTGAGTTCTAGTTTTCTTGTGTTTTCTCTCTTAAATAGGAACAGATCTGAGCATGGTGGGGCTTCAATTTATGCAAGGAATCACACCTTATGAAAGAAGGAGGAGGAAGAAAGGAGAGAAAGTATGTACTTCTTATGGTATACAACTTAAACGATCTTCTGATTTATTTCTGGCCTCAGATTCTATGAATGCTGCCAACCACAGAGGAATTGGGTGGAAAGATGCAATTTTTAATTCTAAGTTATTGTGTGGTAACTATTTTTTTTTCCTTTCTGGTCTTACGTAGAGATTCATATAATAACAATCTGGATACAGAATAGTTCTATCACCCTCAAAATTCTGACATGCTCTACACTACTCATCACTCTTGGCAACCACCAATTTGCTTTTCCTCATAACAAAGTTGTTATTCACTAAAATAATATAAGTGGGATAATAAAGATTATAATTTTTTGAGTCTGGAATCTTTTACTTAATATAATATTTTTGATAGTTACCCAAGTGGTCCTTTTCACTACAGAGTAGTATTCTGGTATACGAATATAATGGGGTTACTTGATCATTCACCTGTTAAAGTGCATTTAGGTTGGTTTTAACATTTGGTTATCACACAAAAGCTGCTATTTTTACTCTTTTCCCAAACCTGTCCTACAAAATAATCATACTTACTGCTTCATAATCTGCCAATTCCAGCCTTGCTTTATTCTGCATTGTCCTCTTACAGAGATAGATGGCTGAGGGAAGAAGAGAAAATGATAATAAACACAAAATCAACAGTGTGGTGGGATCATAAATCCAGTCACATTTCTGTCCATCCATCCAATCCTTTCCTCTACATCTTGCATTTGCTGTGGAAAATATTTCAGTGTAGAAGCCATAGTACCTAACCCTTGCAAACTTTCTTTCGTCAGGATTAGATGAAGACCCCATTTTCCAATCCTTGTTTTCTTCCTCCTCATTCTGCTTCACCGTAAACATCTTCCATGCAAGAGACTGTTCATACATATGACCAAGTTACCCCTTTAAATGCCCTGGATTGTCTCTTCAGTTACTTCAGAAGAAAGTTAGGCTCTTTGGGACAGCATGTTTGGTTCTTTATGATCCTGTCTCTGCTGATCTTGTCAACCTCTTGCTTCCCTTCCTCAGGTACTATGAGGCTACCAAACCCCTTTTAGCTCTATTCCTTCTCTGTGTACATGTAGCAGCCTGGAAGGCCTTTCTCTCTTCTCTCCCTTCACTTGGCAAACTCCTACTAATCTTTGAACACTCAGCTCAGTGTTCTAGAAAGCATCGATCCATCCACAGCCATGGAAACTAATGCCAGGGCATTGCAACCCTGGACTTATTACACTGTCCCCTGCTCTAGGGTGAAGGGGCAGTCTGTGTGTTACTCGGCCTGAATCCCTGCCCTGAGCACAGGACATGGTCTGCCAGGTGGAGTGGATGGGCAGTGGGAAGGGAGGACAATTTAGGTCTTTCTTCTCAACCTAAGGACAGGTCCTTGGTTCTCAGTTTCAGGGCATTCTTCCTCAGGCATGACCTTCATCACTCCCTCACCCTACTTGAGTATCTCCCTACTTCTGCAATGCCAACCAGAATAGTCAGGGAAGACAAGGAAGACAGCAGATGCATGATGTGAATGAACAACAGAATGACCGGGAGGGAAGGTCAGAGAGGATCTGTGGCCAACTTGTCACTTCACAACTTAATCATGCCAGGAGCTCTAGCCAAATCCATGCTAGATCAACCAAGCCCCCTTCATGTGGGCTGAAAGATGTACTGATGGCAGCTGACATCTGTTGGAGCTTGTGGCTACCAGCCCATTCTGGCGTTCCCATACTGTATGTGGATGAGAGCTGTGGTGGTTCTAAAATCTGCTTTTATCAGGCATACCTGATGCTTTAATAATGTTCATTAAAAATTATACAGGCCAATGAAATGAATGTGAAAAGACAGAAAGTTGTTGTTACTATGAAAACCCAGTGGAATGGTTTGGAACAACTTGATAAAGGAGAGTTGGCTAAAATAATTGCTAATGGAAGTACAGAGGTGAGGTAACTGAAGAGATGGGAAAAATATAACAGAAATCTAGCAGAGTTCAATGTATAGCTAACTTCAAAGGTGTTTTTAAATTCCTGATGCACTGTAAAACTGAATGGACTATCTATCTATCTATCTATCTATCTATCTATCTATCTATCTATCTATCTATCTATCTATCTATCTATCGATCGATCTATCTATCTACCATCTATCTATCTACCTATCATTTTTCTATCTATCTATCTATCTATCTATCTATCTATCTATCTATCTATCTATCTATCTATCTATCTATCTATCTATCTATCATCTATCGAATCTATCTATCTGTGTAACATTGTTTAACAACACTGTATATGATTTAGGAGAACAGATTTCCACCTCCTCAGATGTATGTTACCATATCACCTCCATCTTTGAAGCACCCATAAACCATAGTACCTCCCTGCTTTGTTCCCAGTTCCACCTTCCCCTGTAGTAGCCTCAATTCTGCACTCATATTTCTAGGGTTTTTTTTTGGGGGGGGGTTAATTTTGTCTCTGTATAGTCCATATGTGAGAGAAATCATCTCATATTTCTCTTTCTCCTTCTGACTTATTTTGCTTAGCATAATGCTTGATGGTTTATTTAAAAAAAAGACTCAAATTATTGTGACACATTCAAACATGATCTTTGCTCATATCTCAAAGACTGCTGAAGGAATGTTTCTTTCTATATCTTACAGTAATTCAAAGTGTTTAAGGTAGGGAACTACCACTTTTTATGATTCTCCAGTTACCAACTTTGCAATGTATAAGACAGATGGCTGTGCATTGTGTTGGACAAAGGGGGTTTTGCTTGCTTACAGGGTATCTCCTTTGGTCTCCTGGACCACTGACTAGCACCTGAAGCAGGCAGCTTGGCTTGTCACAGCTCCATCAGGAACAGGATACTGGGACAAGGCTGCCCCAGGCAGAATCTTACAGATAATTCAGAAAAGTCTAACCCAGTTCTGAACTAGGGCTTTGTTTAGGCAAAAGCACCCTAAAACATTTTCAGCCCATCTGGGTCAAAATGGGCTGGATATTGAACGCATGAAGCAACTACATGTACGGAGCACAAGCTGCCACCATGCCTGCTGATCGGGCTTTCAGCCTCTTCCCCTTGGCTAGTGCCATACCATAGGGAGTCTGTTCCCTGCCCCTTGGGAGATGGATATAACTGGGAGGAGGCCTCTTCTCGCACAGACCTCTAACCAATAATGACCAATCTGTGAGCACATACCTGGGGGCTTTCATGCTCAGATGCTGGTTTTTCTTGGACATTTAATTTCTCCTTTTTCCAAGGAAAAACCTTTTTCTCCTGTCCTCACCCTTGGCATTCCCACCTCATGGCATCACTTGAATGACCCACTGCCACCTCAACAACTTGCATGACAAAAATAGAAAACAAAGAAATTTTATAAAGTGAACAGGTCATTGGGCACTAAGTGTTAAATGTTTAATTAAATGTCAAAAAAAAAAGGAACCTAACCCAATTCAAAGGGGTTAAAAAAACGAACTCCCTCCAAATTTTTTTTTTTTTTGCCTTTGCTAGTGACATCATTATTTATCTTCATCTCTTAACTAGGGAACATATAAACCACACATGTTTCTCTATTTTTCTCATACCCTCTAATTGCTTTCTAGAATAACAGGATTTTAGTAAAGGAAGTAACCTTGGAAACCATTAAGAAGCCTCACTGACAGATGGCAAAGTGAAAGGTCAAGAGAAATGAAGTGATTTACCTAAAGGCTAGTTAGCGGTAGAGGTGGAATTAGAATTGAGGTCTAGTTCAGAGCTTTTTCCACTATGACATTCATGGCCCCTCTTCACTCATTTATTCATTCATTCAGTGATTCAAAAATGTAGTGAGTGCCTCTTATGTGCCAAAAGCACACTTTTAGGTGCCAGGGAACTGACAGTGATAGCAGTTCCCCTTCCATGGAGCTCACTGAATGTCAGACTTATTTGAGACACGTTCCAAAGATTCACTCACTTAACCTGCACTGTGATACTATGAGTGAGTCCTGTTATTATCTTCACTACATAGATGAGGGAACTTTTTCTAGGTCATTCCCCATTGTTGGGGGCCCAACCATGATACCATTCAATTGTTGAGTCCTTTCTAAATGAACTTACATTACCTGGAAAAATAATGGTTTTCTCATTGACAAGGGCCCTTGACCATTCCTACACTATGAAGTGTTTAAAAAAAATAAACCTACCCTCCCAATCTATGCAACCTCTTCAAATATTCCTCATTGGCATCAAACCTTTGAATACAAAGATCAGACTCCTCACCATTCTCTTCTTCCTGTCCTCTCTCTCCCACTGTGCTGCCACCCCCAGCCTCCTGAAATGGTTAGTGAGCAAGCTAGCGACTTACACCTGCGATACCGCTATTGGCCTGGGTGGGTGATCAGTAAATGGTTGTTGAATGAATGAAAGTTCTCGGTTTTTCATCAACCTAAGTCATACCTGATCATACCTAAGTCATACCTGATCATATCAGCTCCAAGTTCACTACTTTTTGGCCACTGCAGAACTAATAATATCAAGTATTATCTGAGTAGTAATAATAGTAACTGCCACCCCACTTTTGATTGACTCCTTAGCTACACACCAACTTTAGAAGCATGTCATTTAAACCTAGCTTTAGGAGGTGAGTACGTCAGGAGATGAGCACCATTATTATGCTTTTGCTAGGAGGTTTCCAAGACACAGAGGAAACCTAACTAACTCTCAAGGGCACAAAGCTTGTGGAGCTGGTTGATTCTGGAGCCACTTTGCTGAGACCTCTGGATGAATGATTACTGATTTGTATTGGATGAATGATTACTGATTTCTATGGTTAAAGTATTTCTTTTGCATCCTACACTTTGACTTCTCCATCCAATTTGCCAAAACTGAGAAAGGACTTCAAAAGAATTTTGCTTTATTGAGAGCCTGATATAAATTGTTATTTCTATTTCTGTTCAGGCTGCACAACTAAAATGATGAAAAGGAAAAACCTTGCAAAGAAAAGGTAGTCACACCCTGTTACATGAGTAGAAGATGACCTGAAATTTGTGTGTTTGTACTCAGATAAATACTTTAATCTTCCTTGGGCCCAGCTTGGGCCCAAGTAGGATATCCGGTATCTGGTCTTCCCGTCCCTTTACTGGTTTTCCCATTTACAAGGGCACTCGCCTGCTGCCTGGAACTGAATTACTATTATTCAAATTCCGAGCTGGGTTTTCCTGAGTGCTGTTTCAGCTCCAGGGAGTGCTTGCCTTATGGACAGCCAAATGCAACTCAGTTCTGAGCCAGAAACTTTGCTGCGTCCACTGAGGGCACAGTACAGTTCTGAGCAGGAGGCACCGTGGTGCCAGCAGACAGCAGATGAGACAGCAGAGGGTCGGCCCTCTGCATTTGGAAGCACAGCAATAGCCTTACTAGCCTTGTCCACTTTCCTCCTCACGACCACTCTAGTTGCTGCCTTCCCCTCCCTCAAGGCGTGATCCAGAGGGTGCAGCATCTAGACAGGCTGCCCCTGAATATCCACCAGCTGCAGACCTCTCTTGCCCTCACTGCAAGAGCAAATAATCCTGCAAACAATCTGGGAAGAAGCTGTGGAGCTCACTGGGTGTTCTGGTGTCAAAGAGCACTGTGACTGCCTGGAAGCTGGGTCAGTGAGCAGGATGCTGTGCAAAAGGCAGGGATGGCAGCCAGGTGCCATGTATGGGAATGGGAAAAGAGCACGTGGAGCTGCTGGTACTGGAGTTCAAATTCTGCTGCCTCTCCTGAGTGTCTGTTAATAACCTCAATGAAAAAACCAGAACCGTCAGCAAATATTTACTGAGTGCAAACTATGTTTCAGGTATGTGCTATACTTGGGAGTGGGGGGAAGAGGATGGGGTGCTGAGAATGAACAGGTGGACCAGGGAGCTTACAATTGACTGGGCAACCAGACAATGAGAAACAGTGTGATAGCATGAGGATGTGGCCTCTTAGGGCCTTGGGTTCTTCATTTGATTATAGGGACAATATAACTTCCTTACAGGGTGGGTACATAGAAACAGCAAATAGTTACCATAGGAGTATATGGCAAGAATATAATAGATCTCTCCTGGATAGAGGTAACTCCCTGCTTACTGAGCTCCCAAGTTCATCTACCATTTATATCATCTACCATTTATATCTAGGCTAACCCTCCCCTACTCTATCTCCCTTTTCTTTCAACTTCCAACTATCAAAAACACCAGTGAGGTATTAATAAGTCTTGACAAATCTGGAAGAATAGAAAAGGCAAGAGGTAAGTCACCCCTTGATCCAGCCCTTCCTGAAACCCTGCCCCAGGAAGGAATGGTTGAATCATTGTCTTATATTGTTGTCGTTCCATTATATTGTTCCAGAGTGAGAATTTCAGGCAAAAAAAACTTTTTGCCCTTCTTCCATTTCCTTTTCAACAGCTCCACCTTTCAGTGCAGGCTGCCTTTCTTCATAATGTAAGACAAGGTGTTTATTAGATGACAACAGTATGAGAAAGGCTAAGGAAGATAAAAGCCCTCTTCCCTATGCACTGTGGTCCCTAGACACCAAACACTTGTCTTCTGCACTCCCAGGAGAAACATAAAGTGTGGGTTGTGGTTTCACTGCTCACCATAGTCAGTATTTTCAGGCTCCCAGCAGTTTGAAGGCCAAAAGTATGGGGCCTGCAAAAAAGCACAGTTGTCAGGACTCATGTGGGCCAGCAATTACCTTCCCCTGTACCCGGAGAGGACCCCTTCTTATGACAAGCTCTGTTTCCTCTCCTTTTTGATGGTACCACATTCCATTTATTTCCAGTTCTTTAACATAGCTGAGTCAACATTTTAATTAAATACTAGGAAGTGAAATCCATGCAAGCAAAATAAACACAACAATAAAATGTTTATACAAAAAAATAAAAAGTGTTGCTACCCATGACTGTGGAAGGCTTACTATGTTAGGCTGGTACAATTTATGTAAGTGCAACCTCTTTTTATCCCTTTGTTATGGATTGAATAGTGCTCCCTGCCCTCCAATTCATATATTGAAGTGCTAACTCTCCAGACTATTGTATTGGGAGTTAGAAAGTAAGATGGTTAAATGAGGTCACAGGATGGGGCCTTAACCTGAAAGGATTAGTGTCATTGTAAGAGGAAATGTCAGAGCTTGCTCTGTGTCTCTGATGCTCACTCACACAATATCTCTTCTCCTTCCCCCCTTTCTCCCTCCCTCTGCTCCCCACCCCTTTTCTCTATTTGCCCATAGAGATCATAAGCAAGAGGTGGCCATGTGCAAACCAGGATAAGAACGCTTACCATAAACTGAACTCTGCTGGAACCTTGACATTGGACTTCCAGCCTCCAGAATCATGAAGAATAAACTTTTGTTGTTTGAGTCCACAGAAGATTATGGGCCTCTCTGGCCCCATCTGAAGAACTCCATGCCCAAACCCTTTGGTTTTGACCCTGACACAATCTTTAGTATCTGCCCCTGTGCCCTCTAGATAGGATCTGAGAAAAGGAGTGGAAAGTGGGTGGGAAAGGTCAGTGGGTAGTGAATAGAAACTTCACACAGGAAGGCAGCATGATTTAGTAGAAAGATCAAGGATTTCATTAGCTGGATCACTTATGTTCAAGTCAAAGCTGCCTGCTAGATTTACAAAGTGGCCCATTAGTAATCCAGCACCTCAGTTTTCTCTTTGGTAAAATGGGTGACATTTATTCTCCAAAAGTTTCATCTTTAGAATGAATGAGGAAGTATGTACAAAGAGCCCAACAAAAAGCAGGTTCCCGAGGAGAGCCTTGTGCTATTATTTGGTGGCACATCTAATGGCCTAGACCGAAGTCTGTGTGGATATCCCAGTACTGGTGAGAGGTAAGGTTGTTTCCTGAAGTGCCTTAGCTTTTTTTTTCTTTTATGTCGCTCTAGCCTGAGATCAGCTGGCAATGAGAACAAAATGTTCTTCAGGAGGACGAGCCTGACAGGCCTACCTGGAAACGATAAAAGGTGCCATCATCCTTCACGCTGAGAACATGGTCTGAGATCGGGAAGATGTAGCCCTGGGCAGCTATCAGGCTTCCCACATGTATTGCTTCAACTGCAGGGATGGGGCATAAGAGAGACATCACTAGTAGTTCAGAACACAGAACTACTTAGCTGAAATGTAAGCATGGAGAGTATAAAGGCAACAGAAGTCAACTGCCATCACCCCCAGTCAACTGCCATCACACCCAATTAACTGCCATCACCCCCAGTCATCTGCCATCACCCCAGTCAACTGCCATCACTCCCAGTCATCTGCCATCACCCCCAGTCGACAGCAGCTAGGATGTGGTTGCATTGGGCTGGAGGAAGAGGCCCATGGTTGGGAGAGGTAACCATGTGCTTGGGCTTTTCTAGAATGTAGCTCTGAGAGTCTGACATTGCTTAAACCCCTTGTCAAGTCTTTCAGAAGAAAGTCCAGCTTCACGGCCAAGAGCATATTTCAGCAAACGTCAACCTGTACTTCACTGAGGTACTGCAGTTACCTGTACCTGTAAGGTAAGTGTTTGGTAAGCACCAACAGCCTTGATTCATGTTTTTGTTTCATCATTTTTATCCTTGCAGTCATGAGCATGTAGCCTCACACTGCATTTCCTATAAGACAGTTCGCCACCGATGACAATAGCGGTCCACTTCTTCTCTGGATGTAAGGAAAGACCTTGCTTTTTTTTTTTGAAAATGGTGAGAAGGGCATTGCAACAGGCTGTGGCATAAGAAACCAACCTGATAGAAATATTTATATTCTTGTCGCAATCATACTATTGCTTTGTAATGTTAGCATCAGTCATGAACAGAGTCACATAAATAGTTGAGCATTTATATTTATTTTGAGCAGAGCTAAGAAAAAAAAATGGTTCCATTATGGGTGATAATACTTCACACATATAAAAGTACTTTGATGGACAAAAACTAAATTTTGGACACGGAAGCTATTGATATGAGTGGAGTCTTAGGCTGACGAGTCTCTAGGAGAGACTATTAATTTTGTTACTTTTATATTTTGAACTCATGAATTTCAAATTCAAATTCAAATAACTGAAATTTTAAAGTGATTTGCTTTGGTTTTGTTTGCAAATGTTTCCAGAGGTTGCAAATCATGCAAGTATTTTGTTCATCAAAAATCATCCATCCCCTCAGAAAGCATGGATGCTGGTAATTGGTGGGACTGGAATAATGGAGAATGCTTCATTCCCATCCTGATGGCCAGTTTGCTCTTTAGAGTCTGTTCAGGAATCATGGAACCAGCAAAGGGGAAGTTTTCTCACCCATAGCTGCTCCTTCCTCAGGGAAGGAGGAACCAAGTCCATCCAGTGCAACAGTGACCTGGATACCACACAATTTGGAGCTAGAACTCTCGCTTCATCCTTAGAGCTTTTGACTGAAAATCAGGCAGATTTTGGCCATGCCTGGATTCCCATTTTTGGATGACCACATTTCTGCCCTTCTGGTCCAAGCTTGTGAATTGCTTTTAACTTCTGCTGCTCAACTACTTCTCAGAAGCCCAAGTAGATCTCAGTACCTCAGGGTCCTCTCAAGGGCATCAAAATATAACAAAGGTTTTCATTCAGGACCTTCCACAGAGGATTACAAGCCAGGGCCAGAGGATTCCTGAACTTAGTTACTTCTCACTAGCTGGTTCATGGTTCTCAAAATACTACTACTACTATCACCACCACTGAGGAAAAAATATATATGTCCTAAACACAATGGCTATTTTAGAAGAGCAAAGAAACCATAACACTTGGAAAGAAAACCATGAGGAAAATTTTTCCATAGTTTAGCTCCAAAAGGAATGTTGAATTTAAATGCTTGTATAAAACTCTTAAGAGACTTACACTGTCCAGAGTTTACTCGTGGACAATCAGAAGTTCCAGAGGCATAGAGAACCACTGAGGGTAATGGATGTGGATTCTTTCCTCATGAGGATAAGCACGTATAGCTTCACCCTTGGATTAAGAACTTGACTGGAATCAGGAATGTCTACCAGCTTTTAACCAAGGTGTGAATGGGCTAGTGTTTCTTCCACAGGGCTCATGCCTGCTTTCCTGGCACTCAACTCTCTGGCAGCTATATTTAATTGAACTTTATGCAAATTGTACTGTCTCATAGTCCACAGTCTTTAGGAGCCATAGATTAAAATACAGAAGCACCTGGATTGACATACTGACCCCAGCAGGAAACAGCTGGAGGTCAGACAGTCAGAATGGATATCTGAAAGAATCTTCAATAAGCATAGCATTTGGAGGTCATTTAATTTGGGGCAAGTAGATTCAAGAACATCAGGTTATTTTAGTGGATATCTATAAATATGACTTTTAAGCATCAAAATATTTAAGACAGGAGAAATTACTATTATCTAATAATTTCAGAAAAGTGTTAACTAACAACACAGAAATACTGGGCTTTATCTAGATTTGATTTTTCTTTTTCTTTTTTTTTTTTTCTGGAAAAACCTCTCCTCCACTTTCTAATTATGTTGTGGAAACAATTTTTCTAGTAGTTTCTGGTGGGAGGACAGATTTGGAAACTGCTTTACTGGCCAGGGTTTTGTTGTTGTTTTTCTGCTAAGGTTTTCCTAATTGAAATGAACAATTAAAGTTGGAAAAAAAAATTCATTCCTGCACTTCTTGCAGAAGCAGAAAACAGAAGGAGTCTTAGCAAATAATTAAACATCTTAATTGTGGATCAGCAATCTAATTTTAAGAGCTGGCTCTGGAAGACTGTTCTATGGCAGCACTACAACTTATCTTTAATTGCTATGGTGAAGGAGATTCATCTCATTTCACATGTTATTGTATTGAGCTCCTTGCCATTCTAAATAGTTGTTCATTTCCTCAAAGGGTGACTTAAAGATAGATATTCAGTGCAGAAAATAAATTAATTTTATTTGTAATGGAGTTATCCCACACCTTGGAATTCGCATTTATAAGTCACTTCTCAGGTGAGTAGGAGAAATTAGTTTGGGGAATTGGGTATGGGGCAATGTTAAGGTCAAGAGTCAAGTACCTGGGTCCTCAATGGAAAGATTCTTCATGAGCCACTGCACAATGTCAGTACCTGTAACGATAGAGCAATATCCACTGAAGACTCAGGGGTGTTTACCTCTGTAAAAGAAGCATGCTTATCTGAAAGATTCCCCGCTCATAAGCACACATACAGAGAAGTGAGAATATTGACGATTTTCCGTTCTAACCACCTCCCCATCCACTGTTTTACTCTCATCGTCACTATCTCATACTTTCCTCCCAGATCCACTGCTGGTGACGCACAATGACCCACTGTCCACAATGCTAGGGAGCGCCTGCAAAGGAGTTCCTGTCAGTACAGATTTGATGAGTTTCTTACACAGGCTAGGTGAAGCTTTACCACACTGGCCCCCAGGCCACTTCCTGAGAGGGGCGTCTTTTCAGCTCCTCACCCTTATTGACAAGGGATGAGCAACACAGGTGAGCTAACGGGGTCTGAAAAATAGCCCTAATTTCTTTTGGCAAGGACCTACCCTAAAAGAAAGTGCCCCTGTGCTGTGGGAGAAACTTCTATGTGTTCGCAAGACCATTTTCATCTGACTTGTGGGTCACAGCAAGATGATCTTTCCAGATTTTTCTGCAGTCGAGTATAGACTGAATTCTGACAATGGATTGTGGGTAGAAATGGCACTACTTCCAGAACCATATCATAAAAACTCCCATGTGATACTTTCCCCCCAACACCCTTTCAGTCCCATCTGCTGGCTGAATGGTGAGGGTACCAGGGGTCTGGGGAGGGCAGAATCACAACCTGGAAGGAGACTGGGCAGTGACCATGAAGAGGAACAGCCATTTTGGGCTCTGACCTGACTGAAAAATAAAGTTTGCAATGCTAAAGCCCAGACATTTGGGGCCTGTTTTGGCAGCCAGTATTATCTTCTTCTTCTTTTAAAGATTTATTGATTTATGCATAAATAACTGGGTACAAGCCAGAGGTGTGGGGTGGGGTGTGTGTAAGAGGATTCACCAGAGACAGAGTGGGGAGTAGAACAGGCAGATGGACAAAGTACACTGCTGAGGGGAGCAGCGGGCGGGTCAGGAGAGGTCTGCCACGCTATGTGGGTCAGCTCCCTGGTCCGGGATGGAACTCATGCTGCAGTGGCTGCAGAGAGCTTCATAGTGCTGTGCTTTCACCCATTGCACTACTAGGGAGGGCCTTAGTATTATCTTCTTTAAAAGAAATATTATTCTTGGCCCTCCCTGGTGGCGCAGCGGGTTAAAGCACAGCTGAGAATCTAAAGCCGCTTCCGCATGAGTTCAATTCCCGCCTGCCCCGGAGGAGACCACATGGCGTGGCAGACCTCTCCTGACCCACCCGCTGCTCCCCTCAGCAGTGTACTTCATCAATCTGCCTGTTCTGCTCCCCACTCTGTCTCTGGTGAATCCTCTCACCACCCCGGCACCTCTGGCCTGTACCCTAGTACCCTAGTTCTGAATTTCTGTACGCACAAATAAATAAATCTTAAAAAAAAAAAAAAGAAAAGAAATATTATTCTTTCTACTTGAGGCAATATTGGTTTACAACAATGAATAGATTTCAGGTGGACACCTCACACCTCAGCAGCTGTATATGCCATACTATGCCCACCCAAAGCTTTCGTTTCTATTTACCAACAAATCAGCTCCCCTCCACCCTATGTAATTCTGTCAGAACCTAAGAGTTTCTGGGTTTGTTTTTATTTTCATTTTTTTAAAAGGATTTATGTATTTAAGCATATAAGAACTGGGGTACAGGCCAGAGGTGTGGGGGGTGAGAGGATTCACCAGAGACAGAGTGGGGAGCAAAACAGACAGTGAAATTCACTGCTGAGGGGATGTGGGTCAGGAGAGGTCTGCCATGACATGTAGGTCACCTCCCTGGCTGGGGATCGAACTCATGCTGCAGTAGCTGCAGAGAGTTTCACAGTGCTGTGTTCAATTTGTTGCCCCACCAAGGAGGACGCCTATTTTTCATTTGTTTATTTGCTTCATTTCTTTACATTTCACATCAGCGAAATCATATGGTGACTGGGTTTTTGTTTTTCTCCTTCTGACTTACTTTGCTTCTCATAATTCCCTTAAGGTCCACCCATGTTGTCACAGTGGCACGATTCCATCTTCTTTTAAATAACTGAATAGTATTCTACAGAGTATATATATGCCATATTTTCTTTATCCACTTATTTGTTGATGGACAATTAGCATTATCTTAACAAATTTAAAATCCCAAGAAGGATTTTGGGGAAGGGAAGAAGAGTCTTACTTACTCCAACCGTACTAAGGCACACATCCCTGGGGCAAGAGGTGCTTGGTCTCCATTTAGAAACCCCCAGGACTTGGGGGTTCACAAGCTCCTGTGCCAACTTGTTCCAGATAGATTGTCTTTGGTCTCTCTGAAGAGAAATTTTCCTCTCTCTGACTTCCTTTTTTGGGTTTTATCTTTTCCCTCTGATTATAGAAAAAGGAACCCACATAGTCTGGCTCTTTGTGCTGATTCTTCACCTATGTGGGCAGTCCATCCAACACACTGTCAACTTTCTCCAGAATTTTCTTCCCTTCCAGTGAAACATGACTAAGTTTCTCAGAAATTTCCTTGCAAGACACAACCCTAGGTCTCACCATCTGGGTCACACTTCTTTGAGTTTGTTTTGCTTGTTTGATTCCCTTTGGAAATGTGGCACCTAGAACCTATGATCTTTGGGTAGCACATTTTCACAAGGAATGGAGGAGTCTCAATTTCTGGAAGGTTCTGAATGTCTCACCTAGACACATTTGTCATTCAATGATCTCACTTTAAATACCTCTGTCATACGACCCCGCAATCTGACTTCAAGGTATCTGCCCCTAAAATACAAAAACACTCATTCAAAAGGAAACCTGCACCCCCATGTTTATAGCAGCGCTATGTACAATAGCCAAGCTATAGAAACAACCTAAATGCCCCCAAACAGATGAGTAGATCAAGAAGATGTGGTATAGATCCACAATGGAATACTAATCGGCGATCAAAAAAATAAACTCATGCCATTTGTAGCAGCATGGATGGAGCTGGAAGGGATTATTCTAAGCGAAATAAGCCAGGATGAGAAAGATAAATACCGAATAGTGCCACTTCTATGTGGGATACAGAGAAAACAAAGGGTCAGGGGAAGTCAAACTTCAAAACCAACCCTTGAAAGCTGGGCCTATGCTCACAGCTTTCAGAGAGGGAGAGGCAGGGTGAGTGGGAGGCAGGGCTGGGGTGGGAGAGCACAGTGGGTTTTGGTGCAGGAATGTGGGTGCTTCAGTGTTGGGAGAGTTGCAGTGAGGCACCAGGATGGGACTCCTGTACTGTCAACCTCTGGCCAGGATGTGGAATAATGGTACTTCCATAACAATACATTGAAGCAACCGATCCCACTTTACACCCCCCGGACCTTCAAAGGTGACTTTGCCACCTCAGCATGGAATGTTCAGTGGAAAAGAGCCTGAAAGGGGCAACATTTCTATGTGTGAGCCATGGGTCTGAGCTCACAGCTCTTCTGGGACAGATTCCCAGCTTTCAGACTGGATGGGCAGCTGGGGGCTTAATGAATATGGCCCTTTTTCCAGGAAGAAAGTTTCCCAGAAACCTGCCTAGTGGCAGAGTGACAGACTCAGGCCTCAGAGCCGGTCATTTGGCTCCTCTCAGGCGCCTGGAAGTGAATGCAGCCACGCAGAAGGCCTGCCCGGGCCGCCCCACCCACCCTTCCTGGACCCCCCAAAAGCTCTGCTGACCGGCCCTGCAAGCTCCACTCATTGCAAGCTCAAAAGCACAGCTTCTGAGCTCACCCTGCTCCTGCTCCCGGTTGGCTGGCGTCAGTGAGCTAAACTTTGGATCCAAAACACGCCTATTCACTCCCCTGCTTTGAGAGGACCGGGAGTGAGTCTGTGTGTGTGCGTGTGCGTCCATTTCCTCCAAATTATACAAGTTCAACATTTGTCCTAGGAAATAAAGAACAAAGCAGAAATCAAATAAGAACTGTAATCCCAAGTTGGGGGTGGGGGAGAGAATCTAACCTGCTTTTTCCTCAAAAGAAAAATAGTTCTTTTTTGTGGGTTGCCTAGAAACTGAGAGGCTTCCAGCATCAGCAACAGCTCTCCCCCGGGCAGGCGGATTATCTTTCTGCTGAGCCTGCTGAACCATTATTTATCACCTGCCAAGATTGATTACTCACCCTGGGACAATGACAGCCCTTCCTTTCCCCTGTTAATTACTGTCATCATTAATATCCATGTCACTAATTAGTATTCATTCACATTGAAACTCCTTCCTTGCTATCATATCCGCTCCCCCTGCAGCCCACCCCAGCCTCCCCACCATTGTCTGCTTACCTACCGCCCTTTGGCTTTATGCACTCAGTGTCCAGCCTAATTGTTCTCCCCCAGTCTACCAGGCCTCAGTATGCATTCACAGAGCTAAAGGATCACATTTTAAGCACTTGTGTGTGTGTGTGTGTGTGTGTGTGTGCAAATAAGAGAAAGCCACAAAGGCCCCTCGCCTTCCCCCCCAGCACTATGGAGCCACATCTGGGTTGCTGGTCCCTGGCGCAGCCTCCATGATGCTCACTGCTCAGAAAGGGGCTGGCGGACTGGCCTCAGGCCTAGCGAGGGCTGACCTGCGCCCTTGCTGCCCCTGGCCATTGCCCAGCAGCTGCCCCGCCCCTCACAGGCTGAGGGCTCTGCTTCAGTAAATACCACCTGCCACCTGCCTGAGGGGCAGGCTGACACTCCCCTCTCTCCCTTTAGGCTTCCTCGGAGGGAGCCAGGTGAGTGGCAGGAGGGGAGCACTGCATGCTCAGCTCAGGAAGTAGGCAGGGGAGGCTGTCATAATATTACGTCCTTTAAAAGACCGATAATTATTACGCTATAGCATCAGGCAAGATAATAGAAATAACCATCTGGAGAAAGCATTTTAAATCTTTTTTCTTTTTTCCTTTCCTGTCGACCCTCTTTCTGCTCTCCGACTAACTTCCATTCTTTCCTTTCTACTCTAAAAATATTTGCAGTAGAATATGTTCCTGTTCTATCTAC